AATAAGAGGAAGAAAACATATCAGAAACAAGAAGTATTTATCTGCTGAGAGGGAAATGCAACGACCAATTACAAAATGGCTACTCTAAGGCTGCAGTTGCTTTCCTCTCTCAAATTTAAGGGAGCTTTCCTTAAAAAAAGCATGTGAGGAAACCTGCTGTGGGAGGACTTGTGGGCTATGGACTATATTAAAAAAGACTGAGCCTGAATTAATTCAATCTTTGCAGGTTAGTCTAACCTGGCTAGGCTGAATCAGTTTGTAACTGTACAGACATCCCCTCTGGACTGAAAAAATGCAGGCACATGCCTGCAGTGGTTCAGGCTAGATGCTAGAGAGTGCTAGAGCAGCCCTCCCTTCCCTTCTAAAGTGCTGAACTGAGGGGGGGCATGGCCAGGCCCTGGCAGGATGCTCTGATTAGGGAGGGGGTCCCCCATCACTGGTCAGTGACAGAGCTGGCAGGGATTTATACAGCATTTAGTTACACAGTAGGGAACATTTATCAGCCCATCAACAAAACAAAAGTATCTCTGATTAGTTCAAGCTGCTCTTAAATAACTTGTTCCAGAGAAGGAATGGAGGGACATTACCAGCTACCTGTTAATTAACTCCAAAAAGCCCTAAGCAGCACTGTCCTGTTTGCCTTTGTCCCGTCTCCCACAGCACAGACTGTAGCCAGAATGTGGTATGCTAGCTAATGCTGAGAGGTGTCTATGTAAGGCAGAGAGGGGGAAATCCCTGCTTCAGCAGGGAGGGTGTGGGGGAGCAGGAGGAAGCCAGGCAGATGCCCTGTACCTGCAGTCTTTACTGGAGCTGCAGCCAGGAAGCAGAGGGGAGGTGCCAGCCCAGCTGTCTGGAGCAAAGGGCCCCACCCAGCCCAGAGAGCATGCTGGGATGCTGGGGAACTCTGATTTAACTTAAACCAGGAAGGGGTTTGGGACAGACATTGCATAAACTGTATTGACCCAAATCAGTTAAGTCTGATACGACACTCAACCAGATTTATCTCAAACCAGTCGCAGTCATTTTCAAACCGGCTTATGTACACTGAACGTCTGTTCTGTTACAGGTTTAAACCAGTTTCTGATCACTTAAATTGGTTTATGTGTAATGTCTGTCCCTAGCTGTGAGGACCCAACAGTCACCAAGAAAGGTGTTAAGAAATGGGTGCTAGTTTCAATCTTAATTGACTTTAGACAATTTGAAACCAGATACCACAAATAAACTTAGTGAGACAGAAATCCTGCAGCTAGATTCACTGAGTCTGAGTCTCATCTTGACCACATCAGTTTGACTATGCTGTCTCCAAAGCAGTTATTCCTTGAGTAACAGGAGAGGAATTAGATTCTTATATATGCCATATGTATATACTCCCTTGTGCTAATCTCAAAATGGGACCTTAGAGAGTCTATTTTGTTAGCTCCATGTTACCTGAGTTAGAAGGAGCTATGTTTTTCAAAGCTGGCAGGTTTATACATAAGGTGCACATTAGCTCATATGCTGCTGGCAGTGCATAATGTCAGATAATTCAGCACTTTTACATCTTCCATCAGTTCTCTTGCACTTCTGTGCTCTGCTTCCCTTGGCACAGATTGCTTAACCTTTTCTACAAGGGATATAAATAAACTCTACATCATATGCAGGTTAGGTGGATCTGTTCCAGAGAGGAAACTACTCACCCTGAGGAATGACAGCACCAGAACCAGAAACATCCAGAAATCTATCAACACCTTCCTGTTGCTCTATGGATGTAGATCTTAAGCTAGATGCTTGAGCACCTGCCTAACTTTAAGCATTCGAAAAGTCTCATTAAGAATTCAAGCCAGTGGGCCTTGTCTTTTTAAACGTACACATACTTAAGAATTGTGTTCCTGGGAAAAAGAAATTGCCTTTTTTTCTTATAACCAAAGGGTAAAACAAGATCAGGAAGCTCCAGGCCACATGAGCAGGAGATGGGAAACAGACCAACTGTGTGACATAACATGAATAAACTCTTTTCAATATATTTAAAGATTGTTTGTCTTTCCTTCG